GAATAAATGGTAACTTATTAATAAGATATTTTCTGGTAACTGATTAGTAAATTTACTTTTTCAGTCATGTCTGTTTTGGAGGTCCATTATAAAGACATAGATAATGCTGTACCCCAAGATCTTTTGGGAAAAGCAGATATCCAACAGCAGCTACATATGAGAAGGTTACCTATTATCCATGAGGTGTATTGTCCACGACAATATTAAGGTTAATGGGACTTCCATTTGGAAAAGTATATTTCAAAAATCCCTCATGAATCTATATTTTTGTAAAGACTTTAAAATAGTGGCTCTAGTTTTTTTAAACTTTCATACTTCTCAAAATTCTCATAATACTGCAGTGTACGAACAAGGAGAATAAATCAATATTCACAAAAGCCTTAGGCACAGCAATACTGATTTCTGAACAGACTCTGAATAGAATTTACAACATACCTTCGTCTCTTCCTCTTCCTTTTTCTCCTTTTCCTAGCAGATAACTTACAAATCATAACAGAATGCTTGACTCGCTTGGAGTGTTTTCAAGTTACTATTAAAGCTGAGGTGAGGGGTAGCAGGAAAATAAGAGGCAACAAAATGAATTTTTTTTTAAATTTAAAATTTAAGGTATTTATCTTTTTCTTATGGAGAAGGAGAAAAAGCTCAATGCAAATTCCTTACTTAGAAGTATGAGAAAACTAGAATAACGATGGACTTTTTATCATCTGTAGTGATCACTTAATTATGAATATAAACCAGAATGACTAGTTTTAGGAACAGTAATTTAATTATCATAGTCATATTGAAGGTAAATGAGGACAATTTATGAGTTAATTGGATTATTGTCAGTAGACAATCGAAGGGTATAGTGTTTGCTCGTTTACTAGAGACAGAGGTTCCTGGGAAATGGCATATAAATAATTTTAATCAGACTGAATTGGATTTTAAATGCACTCATTGAGGCATAAGTTTAAAGTAGTGGTGATAAATTAAATAGGTCCTAGGGACAATCACTCATATTCTTGTAATCTGTAAATTATGTAGTAAGTTTCTGTTTGGAAATCACATGAGAGAGTTGTTGAAACAGTGTTTTTTGAGAGGTAAGTTGGAAAGCCTTATTTTTCCAATGTTTCAAAAATGGTATTATAAATATTAAAGCCATAAAATTTGGAAATGTCCTTAAAAAAGTTATAAAGCAGCAGCATACCAGTGTACTTTTCTTTGTAACTTCTGTTACATAGATGAATGCATAAGCCTTAATTACAAACATCGAAGATTGAATTCTAACCCTATCTCTCAGTTACTAGCTTTGTCAACTTTGGCAAAGTTTTAATACGATTTTTCCATCACTAAATCATCTAAAAACTGGAGTTAATAATCTCTTCCTCATTGTTGGTTATGTTTGCTTGGTTTTGTCAAATGAGGAAGTGTGTAAAGAATTTGATATGATAAATACAGAAGAATTATGTCCTTTCCAATCATCTTAAAGCTTTTTATGGCATAAACCAAACTTCACTGCTGCTGTCATGAGTGATGACTGTAGATTCAAGTCAAATGAGATTATTGGCAACATTAATTGGCAACATTCCTATCATGATGCTTCCTATATACTTTGGAAATGTTGTCAGGAGGGGCTAGTTTGGGGAAAAACAAAAACATCATGTTGGTAAAGGTAGATGGTCAGCCAAGAAGAGGATGAGGCTCAATACGATGACTGACATAGTGACTATAACTATAGGCTCAAGCAGACCCAAGATCATGAGGACGGTGTTGTATAGGAATTGTTTCTGCTCTGTTGTCCATAAGGTTGCCATGAGGAGTAGTTAACTATAACAGCAAACTCAACTTTATTGACTATCACAGGAAAGTGTATGATACATTAACAAACAGAATTATCACTAAAATAAACATGCAAACATGGTCACTAACAGGTTAAGAAAAAGATCATTATTATTTCAGAAATATCTTTTTTACTCTCCTCCCAATTAGTACATTCTTCTTCCTTCCTTCCTATAGGAAGTACTTTCTTGATTTTGATTATTACTATTTTAATAATTTTAGTCATTGAGAATATATAGAAACCATATACCATTCAACTATTTTATTTCTATTTGTGCAATCTAGTATGTTGAAAATATTTTTCAAATCCTATTACCATCACCACCCTTCTTTACTGCTCCCTAAGTTTCTGCAAGTTTTCAGTCACTGTTGTCAATGTGATTTCGTAGAGATAGTTGATAAAAAGCCTGATGCTCAATGCAGAAATTTTTTACTGCATAAGTGAATTTAATTTATGGTTTAAAGAATATTTATGGGGATATTTTTCATTTAATATTTGGTGTTGGTTTACTGTTTTGTCTCACAGTAATAGTACTAAAGATTCATCCAGCTTTCAGAAAGCATTGGAGTCTGGAGAATTTGAAATTATGTTCTGCATTGTCTCCCTTTTGATCAGGATTCTTCTATATAATCTTTGATTAAGACATTCAGTAATGATAAGATCAAATGAACAAGGAATGACAAGAATTAAGCCCTTAAAGTAAGAAGAAAGAGTAGGCTATAAGGATTAATGGAAATCAGAATTACCAGGCTGTATTTGTAAAAGTTCTATTACATTGTGGGTATTGTGATTAATTTTCTAAAACAAAATATGGATGATTGAATATAAAACCAATATGCTTTGCAAATTTTCAAATAACAGAAATCATGATAAAAATCTTTGTAAAATATTCAGTAGTGGTAGTAATGAGCATCATTCAATTCTTGTCTAATAGAGGAGTAAATTGTTAATATCATTAAAATATTATATAAACAAATAAAATCATCATTATTATTTGTCTTTTTTGACATGTTTATGAAATTACCAAAAGATGAGTACCTTTTTAAGCTCTACACTATGTTTGTGATATTCCATGTTGTTGCTTAAATTCTTATTTGCTTATTTACCATGTATAAATATTCTGCAATATATTATGTTACTGCTGGATATCTAGGGTGAATATTCTTGAGGTTGAATATTCATAAGGCTATGAAAGTTCTTGTATATCCATTTGCCTTTCTAGCTTAAGTAGAATTTTCTTAAGTGAGAAGTAGAAGCTTTTATGGATCACAAAAAACATTAGGAATCCTTAGGTATGGATTTCTTTAAGAAGCTTTGAATGATAGCGTATGAGGATGGATTATGGTTAGAGTTCAAGTGGCTCCACTGTTAGACATAATTGAGCATTAGAAGAGGAACACTTAAAATCCACTGCTAAACAGGGAGAGTGTTTAAAAGCTTTTCTGAATTGAATAGAAATTAACATGAAGGAGGCTGAAAATATTCCTGATATTCTCAGGGAGAGTTCAGCAGAACATGTCAGGTCAGACAGGACCTAAATAATACTAATTGTATCTCATCAGCCTGGAGGATTATAGAGGAAAGTAAAAATCCAGCTCAAGGAACTAAAGGGCAATCCTCAAAACTCACTCTGGAGGGCTTTGCATCTAAAGAATAACTTTTCATAGTAGATAGCCTTGAGTGTTACCTCCTCCACTTACAGGCTGTGTGACCTTAAGTAAGTCACATGGCCACTCTAGCCTCAGTTTTTCTGAAAATGAAAGTAGTCCAGACTATAGTTTTATTTTAAGGGATCTTTTGTGAAGATTAAAGGGCATAGTTGTGAATTTTAGAAACTGTTGGAAATTGTTCTTTTTAGATGCCACAAAGCAGCTTCCACTCAGAGCAAGTTTATGTTTAACAGATCAAAACCTGTTTGACAGAGCACAGTCTTTCCAGGCTTTGCTGTGCATAAAAGCCTGTTAGTGCAGTCTCTATTTCAGTCCAGCTTGAGCATCTTTCCCTTCTTCATTAACACTATTTTTCCCCCAGTATGAGGTCCTTTCCAGGGATTGGCTGCTCCTGATAATATCCCCCAAATATATCAAAGTTTTAACACCCTCACCTATAAAGGCTACTCTAGCTTTACTTCTTCTGAGACAGACATATGTGTTCCTTTGGCAGTCTGTGGTATATAGTCAATTACACAGAAGTTATTTTTATGAAAACCATGAAGTGCTTTCTTTGGGGCAGGCACTGTTTAGGATGCTTCTACCTACAACTTCTCATTTAGTCTTCAAAGGAACAATATAAAGTCACTATGCTTACTGTGATTATTTCTCAGAGATTAATTATGATAGTCTATATTTTTATATAAATCCAATTCCCAAATATTTTCTCACCCCATCTTAATTTTTATAACTTGTATCACTTTTGTGCTTAAAAGACAGAATGGTACACTTAATTTGCTATGGCTTTAAATCCCACTTCTGCCAATATTTGTTTGGGTTAATTTTGTTCAATATTCTCTTCCCACAAATCATCTTTCTCATTTATAAATTAAGGAAGTTATATTGAAATATTTCTATTATTCTCCTTCATTTGATATTTTTAAAAGGGCATGATGAGGTAAATAGTACCATAACAAAGAAAAAAAAAGAATGATAATTTTAAATTAAAATAAATAAATTCAAACAGACACTTTTAAAAATGTTATCAAGTGAAGTTTCTGGATCACTGGCTTTTAAGAACTGATACAATTAGGTTATAAGTAGTAATTTAATTTTCATAATGAAGATTCCAAATTACACTAAAGATTTTGTTTCCTTAAATATATCAGTGAAATCTGCCAGAGGTACATAAAAACTTGAAACTTTCCCAAAGCTAAAGACTGTTGAAATATTGGAATTTGATTTGACAAAGTTCTTATACAGTTTTATGGTATTTTCCTAGAAGGAGGGAAAAATAAATTTTTGTGCAAAAAAATACAATTCAGTAACTCTAGGTTCAATAAATAATTTTTGAAAACTCATATTTTTAAAGAAAATATTTGGAATTATCTGAACATTATGTTTTTAGCATTTTATCAGTTATTCCATTTTTATCACTCTATCCACTTTAAAGTATTAAAATACTTTATTTAATAATAAAAACTACTATTTTCTTTCAGATTCCATTTATAGCACCACCAACGAAGGCTACAATGTTGATCTTAGGCAAAATTCTGTTGCTCTCAATGTTTTTTTGTTCACTACTATTGGGAAGCTTTGGAAAAGAAAATTCAGAAATAAGCACAACCGAAACCAAGACTGAAGTTTTACAAACAATGAGAAGAGGATCAGTTTCCTTGGAAAATGAAGAAGAATTAGACAAAACAAATAGTGAAACCTCTAACCCCTATACAACTCATATTCCTATTTTTGATTCATTAAACAAAGTCCACACAAAGACAACTTTACCCAGGGATTGGTCAACAGATAACCCTTCTGGGAGTATATCACCAACAACCACATCTTTAACAACCCCTTCTGTGATCCATAGTATTGTTTCTAAATTGCCTTTGAACTCGTCTGTTCTACATGAACATATTTTACCAGTATCAGTACCTCCTAACGCTACACAACCGGATGTGCCTTCCGAAAATTTCACTTCATCTTTGACTACTCTGACTAATGATGCCATGAATCCTCTGGACCACAGTTCCATGACAGTTAGCATCCTGCCTCCGGCACCAACCACCACATCCGTGACTACCTTGATTACAGAGCCCACTCCCTGGCTTACCACAACCAATAACAGTCTGGCTGAGTTCACCCCCTACCAGGAAACCACAACTCCACAGCCCACTCTCAAATTTACCAATAGTTCAAAAATATTTCAAAATACTGCTGACCCCCAAGAAGAAGGTAAATATAAGCAGATTCCATTTTCCTTTTGTGCAAACCTATCTCTAAAAAATCATATAGATTAAATTTAAGAAATGCAACATATTGGGGGGAAATATGATAGAACTAGAAAAATAAAAATAGTTTTGAGATTAAATTAGCATATACAAGGGAGCCATACAGGATAGTTTTAAGTCATCCCCACTCTATAGCAACGAGTTAGTGTTTGCTCTTGAGTTGTTTTGCTAATGTTTAAAGTAGTTTAACTTCACCACTGGCTCAGTGAGAGAAAGATCCTCTGTATCCTCCCATAAGGCGTTTTACAGCCTTGGAAACCTGATGAAATGTCAGCAGGAACTCGAATCAACTTGAAAATGAACAGACTGAAGAGATATGGAAACTGAGGCAGGGTCATAGTTTGTGGGTAAAAATTATCACTGAACATTCATTTGAGGATTATGAAAGCAAATTCTGCATGCCCAGTTTTTAAAGAAGAAAAATATTAATTTTATACATTATCTGACACTCATTACAAGAGAACTGGACTCTGATATCTTTTTTCATATATATATATATATATATATTCTTTTAAAAATAAATTTCATGACAGGAAACATTTCTTAATTTTTAGCACAGGAGCTAAAGGACACTATTAAGAATGAAATTTAGTTTCAAGTGTCCCAATAAAATAATAATTAACTAATTTATTTGTTTGCTTGTTCTTTTCCTTTAAGGAACATTGGTGGTGTAATGGGTAGGAAAGTTACACTACAAGTGCAAAGAAAGATGGTTCAAATCCAGTTGCTTCATGGGAGAAAGAGAGGCAAATGACAAGAGAGGCTGTAAATCACAGCACTATCTGCTGGAGGGTAGGAGTTGGTTGCAATCTGAGAGCAATGTGTTTGAGTAAATTTTAGGGATTATACTAATATTTAAATGGTAAATGAAAAATAGCTTTAAGACTTAATGTTTCATTTACATTTAATTATTTTTTGAGATGGAATAATATTTTCTCCTCCTGAATTCTTTTTTTAATTGTGTGTGTGTGTACTGTCAAATTGGATCTGTTACAGGAGATTGTCCTTCCTTCTCCAGTAGAGAGCATCTGGTGGATTTGAACCATGTGCCTCTGGGATTGCAGTGCAGCTTTCGGCCACTTGGCCACCAGAACTCCCTATCTTTTCCTGAATTTTAGAAAAATTAATCTCTCTCCTGTTGACAAGTTATAATAAACACAGCACAACTTACTTATAGATTTTATTAACAATATAGAAAGCTAAATTATATCTACAAATTCTTGTTTGAAAGTTGTTGTCAATGAATAGGAAACATTTCAAATGATTAAATTTTATCTTCATTAGGGTCCCTATCAATTTCTTTTCTATGTAATATTTTTAGTACTACTTTAAACACATTCTTTAATTCATGCATATTCTTAAATTTTGCAAATACTCCTTCATTTGTCTCTCTTCATCCCATTCATTAGTCTTCAGGCCAATGAAATAGATTAGTTTCTCATTGCCCATTTAAGCTGAATTTGTAAGTAGGAGATAATTCTGTAATAAAAAAATACGCGGATATTTACATAAATTAAAGGACTAGTCTGAGTTGCCTTTATTAAGGATGCTAGTAAACTGGGTACATTTGTATATGCATGATGAATACTGAGTGTATATTTCTATCATTATTCACTTATCTAAAAAATAGAGGCTCATATAGGGTCACTATGAGTCGCAAATGACTCGACGGCACATAACAACAACAACAACAACAACAACAAAAACTAGAGTAAATAGTATTTTTATTTTAATAATAATTTTACTATGCTACAATGTGAAGTTTAATCTGACAGAATCTTACAATCCTTATGGAATCTACATGGAATCAAGTAGAATCAGAGAACCTAAAGCTCTGCTGGGTTGTTGCTGTTTATTGCCATTGAGTAAAGCATGACTCATAGCAACCCTATGAGCAAAAGGCTTGAATGAAACCTTCCTATAATTATCATTGTTTATCCAAGTTCATAGAGTTTTCAGAGGCATGTGACTTAAGAAGTGGATGCCACTTCTGCTTCCAAACCTGTCTTAAACTGGAAGCTCCACTAAATACTGTCCACTATGAGCAGCCATTATGGCATTTGATCCCCCAATGGCACAAAGTTAAAAATCCCAGCAAACCCAGATTACTTCAGTGCAGCAAATTGACAGAGGAGTGCTGTACAACATAGAAGAATGTTCCTCTAAAATAAAATAATGCTAGACCCTTGGACACAACTGACTTTTAAATACAAGATATAGATAGGTATAGATTAGATATAGATTAGATGAGAAAGAGATTAGAGATTAGAGATAGAGAAAGAGATAGGGATAGGGATAGGGATAGGGATAGGGATAGGGATAGGGATAGAGATAGGGATAGAGATAGAGATAGAGATAGATACACACAATACATATATATAAATAATAAATTTCTTTACAAGTTAACAAAAATGTAAAAGTATATATAAAAATATACAACTTAAGGGAATATTAGGGTCACAGAGAGTTGAACAGAGACATGATTTTATACTCTAAGAGGTAATAAGATTTTTTACTATTCCTCAAAAGTTAAAATAGTATCATATTTTTAAAATAAAGAAATGGTGATATAGAAATTATACTGTCACATCATGGAAAACAAAACAGTATAAAACGAATGGATTTGCATCTTTCGTGAACTCAGTGCATAAGCATGACAGTGATCTCAAAACTATAATGTATTGATAACTTAACCTTTAAATAATAGAGCAAATAAAGGAAATGATAGAGAAAAAATTTGGATCCCCTTAAACTTAAACCTATGTATCTGTTTAAGATGTGCAAAGTGGGGAAAATGTCTTGCTTAAGTCCTTTTGTTGTACTAGAAATATCCTGTATCAAGTTATCCAAAATTAGGATACATTGCTTTCTTCAATAAAGCGCCTGTCACTTGAAGTTTTGGATATTCCATTTTCTAATTCTCACTTATGCCTCTTAGCTTTTTTAAAAAAAATAGGCACAAATTCAAGGTTTATTTCATTCTTAAGGTTCATCACAGTTTCAGGCTTGAAAAAGTTTTAATTAATGCAACTTCTAGCATGAACTCTTAATGGAGTATATACGCGGAACTGCAGTCGTAATGATGTTAAGTAAGAAGTCCAGTATAGAAAGCAAAGATTTCTGAGTATTTCAAAAACCAAAATGATTAAATATGGTTTTATTAAGAAATACAATTTGTCCACATATCCTAAATTATAAGTATGTATAAAAAAGAGACACACAATAACTATGTCTCATTTTTAAAACATTTCTATACTTTTGTTGGTATATGGAAAGCAATATGTAATACCTGTTATTTGACTAATAATTTTCTAGCTTTACATGCAAATTACCTTTTACCTTTGTTTGTTTGTTTCCTAGAGAACAGAAATACAGGAGTAGTATTTGGGGCCATTTTAGGGGCTATTCTTGGTGCTTCATTACTTAGTTTTGTTGGCTACTTATTATGTGGGAGAAGGAAAACAGATTCATTTTCCCATCGAAGACTTTATGATGACAGAAATGAACCAGGTAAGGAGCATCGTCACGGCTTAGAAGGATTCAGTATTAATAAAACACACTAAAAATGTATCTTGATCCACTCTCTGATTCCCAAAAGAATGAAAACAAGATAATGATAAACTTGCGAGAAATGAGAAAACCACTTGAATCTATTGTTCAATGAATCCAGTTTTGTTTTAAATAGTAATCCTGGAATCTAAAACATGGCTATAAAATTAAAAGATAATGATATGATATTAAGACCGAAAAATCATCAGGTTTGCTAATAAGTAACTTAAACAGTTATTCCTTGCTTTTGTTGGATCTTTTAATAGCAATATTTTGCGTAAAGTTTATTCTCCTTTGATGTTCTTCTAAAGTTTATACAAAACAACAGCTACCATTTATCTTAAGCAGGGGACTGTGGCTGGATTCCACTGTAGAGACGTGAAGTGCAGCTCTCTGTGGACTAAGCCACCAGAGCTTCCCATTTAGTCTGCTGCATGCCTTTTATTCATTTATTTAAATAAAACTACTACCATAGTCTCAGGAAGAAATGTGGCATAAAACGTGTAGGTATTCAAAATGTTAAAATTAATATCAGTAAACCCTTAACAAAAGGCATATCAACGTAATCATCTAGCCCAACTACTAGATTTAGTAAATGGCCTTTCAGACTGCCACTGTGAAATAATTCTGTTTTGTCACTTTCTTAGTTCTTCGACTAGACAATGCACCGGAACCTTATGATGTGAGTTTTGGGAATTCTAGTTACTACAACGCTACTGTGATTGGTTCAGCTCCGCCTGAAGGCCGGGAGCATGCACGTGATGGCATTCCTATGGATGACATACCTCCACTTCGTACCCCAGTATAAAACCAAGAAGAAAGGCTTTAGGTAAAAGGTGTTCACCTACACCCTGGCCTCACAGAGCCATCTTTCCAAAGATGACGCAGGATTATTGCCTTGTGGATCACACCTGTGGTACCAATCAGATCAGGAGGCTAGCTGCTAAAGCTTACAGAGTGAATCTTTTCTTGCAATAATTGACTATGTTAAAATATTCATTTAAAAAACCTTAATTTGGCTTTCTATTTTCTCAAGAGAAGAGATTTATGAAATCAAGTTAAACTAGATACTTATCATGATGTTGCTATTATTGTTATGTGTCACAGAGTCACAACAAACTCACCGTTTTTAAAACTTCTAGCAGGTTTTCAGAAGCTGTAAAGCACATAGGAGGAGACTGCCCATCTTTCTCCCAAGGAACAACTTGTGTATTTGAACCACCTGCCTTTGGATTTTAAGTGTAAATCATTAGCCACTAGGCCACCAGTATCCTTCAATGATACTAGGGATTAAAAAGCCCCCAAACCCAAAAACTCAGAAACTAAAGATTGAGTCCTTACCACTTCCTCTAAAGGACTACTACCATACTTCAAGGCTGGCATTCTTTTCATAGGAAATTGGAAGGATGTCGCTTTTATTTGTGGCTCAAAATGCCATAGACAATATGGAACAGCTCTCATGTTACCAGTAAATTAGTTAACTGCAATGGAGATACCTATATTCCAGGATATTGAAGGTTTCTACATCAGCACATAACAGCCATTCCCTTGGAATTGCCAGATTGACAGTGACTCTGCGTTCAACTGAGCCATGGTAAAAAGACTACTAACTGGGAAAGTAGTCGTTGTTGTGATCTACTGTTGAGTTGGCATCAACTCATAGCTGACCCTCCAGCAGGCTTCCAGCGACAGTGAATTAGGAGAGAGGAGACGGCTTATTCTTCACCCAGGAGCAGCTGGCAAATCTGAACTGTGAACCTTGCAGTTGGCAACACAACCAATGAAGTAGCAGACTGTCTAAATATGTCAATGAATTTGGAATTCATATATATATATTCAGCTAAAGCCTTAAAGAATCAAAGAAAACCATCGTAAAAAGCCAGACAAAGCATATACCTGCACGTAACTTAATACACTTTTAAGATGTTAGATTGTACTATAAGATTTCATATTTGTCAGAAATTATTGTTGTTCAGTCATATATAGAATAGATTGTGCATGTTTAAGGTATGACATCTGGAGGGGAAAAAAAGGAAACAAACAGAGACCAAATTTCCTCAGCATCAGCTTGATTTGAAAACAACTCCCAGCTGACCCTCCAGTGGGTTTTTAGAGACAGTAAATCACATGGAAATAGACTGTCTTTCTCCAAAGGAGCAGATGGAGAATTCAAAGCATGTGCCTTTGGGTGAGCAACACAACTACTTCCCCACTAGAACTCACTCCAGCAATATGGGAAGGCTGATCTTGATTGGAGTGTTATCCTTTGTTTGTAATTACTACTTGCTTCTGGCAAGAAGCAAATGAACAAATGAAAACCAAACAAACAAAAAATCAACAACGATAAAAACCACAAAAAACCCCAAATCCACACAAACCCAATGCTTTAGTACAGAGAAAAGTTGAGGCTTCAAGCATTAGCAAGTTTTATCAAGAGATAAAATTGCACAGAGACAATATGTGTAAAGGACACTTTAGTGTAAAACTGCTGCCTAGGTGTATGTACAAGTGTGATAAATAAAAAGAATGAAGCTCAGTAGTTTTAGAGAATGAGAACATCGCTTTAAGTTCATAATGACAGCATATACTTACCCCATATTGCCATAAAAATTGCAAAGAAGACTGTCCCTCCGTTATCAAACAGGTATGTCACCTTAAGGAAAGGGAAAATGTTAGTCTCAGCTGTATTAAAATAACTCAGTGGTTACTACTGTATTTGGGTACTTTGATTTTTCCCCCCAATGTAAATATATTATTTAATACATTGTAAGTATAAAATCTTTTTATGAGTTCTGTAACCATTGTGTTTTTCATGGAGGGAATTGAGGGACCAGCATTTTCTTCTTTTATTCTTCTTTCTTTCTGGACTTCTTTGTACTTGACTTCTAATCCTGCTTAGAAATAGCTGAAGAACCTTTTGAAAATATTACTGGGCTACACATGGTCACTAGAATATGATACTGTATGAAGACAGATTTGTAGGAGAGGAGAGCCATTCAGACTTGGATTATCTATATGCAAGTTTCCAAGAAAGGAAACATTTCAAGAACTTCGCAGCCAGCCACCACGTAGTTGAAAAACATATCCCTACTCTTGCACCTCTTTCAGAATGTGCATGGGTCTAATGGAGGCTACAAAGATAATGGATCACATCTTGTGTTGTTTTTAAAATTCATTTCCTTCAAGTAACTTCTGATTCAAAATAACCATACAGGATTGAAAAGTGCCGCAAAAGATGTCCAAGAAGGTAAATCCTTAAGAAAGTAGACTGCTTCAAAAGGAAGCTGACTGCCTCATCCTTCCTTTGTAAAGTGACTGGTGGGTTCCAACCAGCAACCTTCTGGTTCATCAAGTGCTCTAATCACTGCACCAGCACTGTTTAAGTGGTTATTTGTTTCATAAGCCATTGAACATTTGAGATGTGGTCCGCCTGTGTTTTGCTTAGATATCACCTGGAATTTTATAAAGAACAATGTTAATAAAATGTTCACGGTTGCAAAGATTAATAAAGTGTCAGTGCAATTCATTACTCCTTGTTTTTGTTCATAATTATCTCAGTATAATTATAAATTAGTGACGAAGAATAAACTAACAGAGCCCAGGAAGTAGATGTCTAAAAGTCCTATAAACACCACAGAAACTATTCTAAGGCTTCTGTTTAATAGGAGATAGAGACAAAATATTGGGTGAGAACATCATGAGGAAAGCTGGAATCTAGCAATATCTTCTTTGCTCAGTCTAAAGACCAGAGGTTGCTGAACTTGATGGTGAAAAATTCATTTCTGTATTTTGGTTGTAAAATCTGAGCCATCCTGCAAAAACAACGTGTAAAACAGATAACTATGGGATTTATTTTTCTGTAAAATAACCTTATTAAATGTATCAATATAAAAAGACATTCTGATTTTAAAAGCTTGTAGATGGATGCAAAATATTCAATAGGGCTCTGAAATTCAACCACCTTAAGGACTGTGGTTTCTAAAAATGCCTTCAGAATTGGTTTTTAGAACAATACTCAGTATGTATTATGCACAGGAGGAAAGGTATCATAAATAAATTCTTCTACAGAGATCATAAATTTACACCAAGCAGGAATCAGACTTTTTTATGTTCCCAAAGGCATCCCACAGAGACACCTGAGGCTGCCAAGCAATTGAACAGCTGTCTGCTTCCTCTATAAACAGATCGGCTGCAAGAAAGAGCCTCACACTGTGTTAGAATACAGACGTTACACACGAGGACTGAAAAGTTCACAAAGACATAATGGCGCTCTCTCTCCAGAAACAGCTGTGATATTGAGAAGGAGCAAATAAAAGAGCCATACTTAACAACAATTGTGACTATAGCTATAATTTGTAATTATCTTTCCTGAAAATCTGCTCCTCTTCCCCTTTCAGCGCTCACCAAATATGTAGCGATTGTGCTCTGTTCAGTAAAACTTAAACACCAACTTTTTTTATTTAGATATATTTATAAATAGATATATAATATATAGGGATGTTCAACACTCTTGGCACCAGCAGTCAGAAAACCAAAAGAGGAATTGCACTGGGAAAATCTGCTGTCAGGGATATCTCCAGAGTACTGAGAAGCAATGATGTCGGTCTAGAGACTAAGGTGTGCCTGATCCAGGCCATGGTCTTCACCATTACTTTCTATACACCAGAGAGCTAGACAGTGATTAAGGATGACAGAAGAAGAATTGATGCCTTTGAGTAGTGGTGCTGGAGAAGAATCTTGAACATACACCATGGACTGCCAAGAAAACAAATACGTCTGTATTGGAGAGATTGAAACCAAGTTTCTCCTTGGAGGCTAAGATTTTGCATTTCCATCTCACATATTTTGGGCAGATGGCCAGAAGCGACTAGTCTGTGGAGAAGGATAACATACTTTGGAGGGTGGAGGGACAGCACAGCAGAGGAAGACCCTGGATGAGTTGGATTGATACAGTAACTGAGGTAATGAGGGTAGGTATGTGGAAGTCAGTTGAGAATGGCTCAGGACAGGGCAGACTTCAGAGTTCTTGTACATAGAGTTGCTATGAGTAGCAGGCAACTTGATAACATATAACAACAACATTCATTTCACAGAAAGACATGCATAAAATGGTAGACTAAGCCACAATAGGAATGAAATAGTTTAAAAGGTTTCCTAACAGGCAATGTAGCAATATAAAAACATTGTTTTCTATTTACTAGACATTCTGTGGGAAAGTATCATAAAAACAGTGTTCATGGGGATAATGAGTAGTTTGTACTTCTGGGGTTCTTAAGTGGTGCAAACTGTTAATATGCTTTTTTTTATATAACAGAGAAGGGGAACGAACATTCAAGACCATCTAAGGGTATCTTGGGAAAGGGCCAGTGATCTGGTTCCAAGAAATTAGTGCTTAAAAACCCTGAGACAAACAGCTTGCCTTTGCGAATAGGGGAACATACAGAAAATGGTTTATATGGTGTTATGAATCCACCAGCTGCTCCACAGGAGGATGGGCAATCCCCTCCTATGTGCTTAACTGCCTTTGAAAACCCGCAGGAGGGTCAGCTATGACTCAGTTTGACTGTGTAGCTCACAACAATGGGAAGAAGCTGATCGCAATCCCCAAACATGCAGATAAAATCTATCAGCTGCTCTGAAGGAGAAGGATGGGCAATCTCCTCCCAGGTGATTTATTGCCTCTGTAAACCTGCTGGAGGGTCAGCTTTGCATTGGTTCTGACTCAACAGCACACACCACCCCCACCACAATGTGAATTAGAATACTTAGGAAGATGAATGTAAATTGGATTTTAAATAAAGCTATGTT